TGTTGAATACAAAACTCATATCCTTAGGGCAGCAAAATCTAGAGGGAGAGGACATTTTTCTTTCTAGAAGCCCTGCAAAGCCTCATCAGTCCTTCACTCCAGTGAGCACCAGTAGGATCATTGAGTTTCTCTCCGCAGGATGAAAGGTGGGGTATAGAGGGGAGGAGAGGGGGGTCTTCCTTGAGTGTGTGTGTGGGGGCTGCTGTTAGAACACAGAAATGCACCCTCTGGGTCAAGTAAAATATATGCTGTACTTCCGAGCAAGGTCAGTGGAAGCAATAATCAGTTTGGAAAAAAAAATACTCATAGCTTACTAATTAACAAGGTTTAGTTATTATATTAACTAAGTTAATTTAAAACCTACTTGTCTTCACTTATATAAATCTAGCAGTATCTTAGAAAGATGTGATGAAGTCTATTTTATTAATGTGTTAGACTTCTTGTTGTAGGTGTTGAAAGAATACAGAGGAAAGCAATCTGAAATTTGTAGAACTCGAAACGTAAATCTCTGATTTTAAGGCAGAAAATGACCTCTTAAATATCATTTGTAGGTATAATTTCATTCACTGGTTGTAGAAAAATGAAGCTTTCTGATGAGTGTCTTAGTGAAAACATTCAGTGGTATACTGGGTATGATTTATACAAGTTTATTCACTATGTCCTTGTATGCACATCAACATATAAGCACAACATATTTTATGGGTATTTGTTCTCTCTGTAGCCAAACCTAAACCACTCCCCCCCCTTTTTTTTTTGTTAACAGTACAATCTCTTTGCAACTGAAGTTCAATTTGATTTCCCCAAGGATTCAGAGTTTGTGACTTTTGACACGCCCTTTGGGAAGTTTGCTGTTTTCACTTGCTTTGACATTTTTTCTCACAATCCGGCTGTGATGGTGGTGGATGAATTTCAAGTTGACAGCGTTCTCTATCCCACAGCGTGGTACAACACGCTGCCCCTTCTCTCGGCTGTTCCCTTCCACTCAGCATGGGCCAGGGCCATGGGAGTGAACCTGCTTGCTGCAAATACCCACAACACCAGCATGCACATGACAGGTAGTGTGCTCATGACAGGTAACACCCACCTGTGTGCCCAGTGGCACAGATGCTCTTAGGAAGACTTCGCTGATTTTCAAGTCACACTTTTCTCTAACGATTCTTTTATTAGCTCTAATGTCACACAAGTTTAGTGATAGTGTGAATTTCTTGAACAACATTACTTAAGAACTTTAACCCTGTGAATAAAGAAGAAGGTAAACATTGTTATCTCAATTTTATATGAGGGGAACTCAGAGTTAGAGAGCAGACAACTGTCATTTAAAAAGCAAAGCAGGCCCTCCCTGGTGGCACAGCGGGTTAAATAAAGCACAGCACTAAGAAGCTAAAGTCACTTCCGCATGAGTTCGATTCCCGCCTGCCCCGGAGGTGACCACATGGCG